CCTTTCTGTAAACGTACAATTGTACAAAAATTACAGTACACAAGTAAAATACGGGTGCTTAGTATATTTTATTGAAGGTCTATGAAAGATATGACTAACCTTAATGGATTCCTCGCTTAAAAGTCTTTAAGAACTCATGTAAAATTCATATGTATATTATTAAGTCAGTAGCACACAATACATGGATAACAAAAGAAAATAGTTTAATCACTATCTACAAAACTGCTACAATACTGGCTTAGACTGTGAACGAATCTACCCTCTACTATTCAGCCTAACAGAACCTTCTAAAAATTCTAGACCGTACCGACAATAAAGGGATCCGATTAACTACAGAAGAGTTTCGGACTTAAATTTATCTGGGTTATATGTTTTATTACAGCAATATTTTAAATTCTCATTTAATAATATTTATTTTATTTTGCAATATTTTTAAAGATTACTCAGTTTTAAATATTTTTATTATGAATTATTATCGATTTAACGTATGTGTTATATAGTAAAACACTATACGGGAATAATATGATTAAGTAATTTATTACCTTACCGGTTTTAATTTTAGCAAAATATAGACGAGTTGAACAAACGATAAATTATAGTTTTTATGATATTTTAATTATTACAATCGTTTGGTAGATTTCATTAGTAGGAGAACATATACAAGAAAAGTCTGAGTTATTGCAAACAATACAATTAAATAAATTAGAATTAATTTATATACTACATATTAATCTTTGTTATTAGTTTCATTCACATAATTTTTTTAAGACTGGGAAAGGATAAATGAAGTTTACATAAAATAATGAATAATTATATTATTTTAATAATAGGAATATAAATTATACATACATATTCCTACTATATAAATTAAATCTAGATATATATTTAATAATGTACATAAAAAGCGAAATCTCTCTACATATAATATTGGTGTTGAATAGATAAATTAAAGTATTGTACAGGGTATTTCAGATATAACTGACAACACTTTTAACTATACAATTATCATTTTGTTGAATTTTATTTCGGATAGAGTATTTATAATAATATTTAGATCAATAAAAAAAAAAAAAGAATAATTCTGTGACTGTTTGAAATTAATATAATTTTGGAGTTTTAATAGTTTGATAGTTTAATAGTTTTAATAGTTTTAAAAGTTAGACAACTTTAAAAAAAGATTATAAGTTTATCAATGTCTTTGATATGTTATATAATTTTAATAATACAAAAATATATTATTAGGTATTATTCTGGTAACAATGAAATTAAAGAGTGTACAAGAATTTAATGCTATAATACCATTAATTTTTTTATATTGTACTCGCATTTATATGGAATCTCACCTAATCCATAATAATTGTCATCAACAACTATTTAAAGATTCAAATTTATTTTTGGTTGTTATGCGACCATTTATAATGTCAATCTGTCATTTGCCTGTTTATTCTGATAAAGTACTAAATACTTGCTCTGATATTTATGACTTTTTTTATTACTTCTAAATATTACCGCTAAGTTTAGATATATAAATAACAGCACATAGTCATACAAATATCCATAAAGACCTTTAGGGTGTGAAAAATATACTTATGTAAAATTGAAAGAAAAAACTACTCAGCAATCTAAACCCTAAACGACTTTTTATTTAAGAACATACCAACAATCAAATAATGTAAATGAAATTACCGAAAAACTGGGCGTCTATTTCAAGGATATCGTCACTTATTTTGCATTTGTCCTAAGCAATATCCTAGTAGTATTTTTATAGTTTTAAAGAATATTCTCTATGATTCAAACAGAACCTAAACGTAAAATTATATTGTTGAGTCGAATAAAAAATATATTATAAAATAAATTGTCTACAGTTGTTAAAAATTATTCACTAACATCTTTAAATTTACAAAATAGATTTTTCATTGAAATTAATATTTTTTTTTTTTGAGTTTTTAAACTAATTAACAATGATTTAATTTCTGTAAGTTAATATTAATTAACATCCAATTTAAATTTATAATAATGATCATAATCATTAATTTGTCTACTTAAATATTTGTTTTTACAATTTATCTTTGGCATTTGTTGACATATCATTTTATTAATCAGTTTTTCAAAGATGAAATTAGAATTATGTAAAAAAAAAAGAAGCGAAATGAAAAAATTAGCATAATAATTTAACACCTTATAATTATAAGATTTAACGGAAATTTCAACAAAGCGGAGGCTATTAAATATTCGTTATAACAATTCGATACATAATTAATTTATTAACTTGACAGTTCTCATTTGATGAATTGTTGTTTTTCATGGTTGTTCTTTATTGTCATGACGATTTCACGAGCCAAAGTTGTTAAACATGCTAAATGATTTATACTATGCCATAAAATGCAAGTTTGCCGTACATGAGTAGAATAATAATGCATTGACTTATTTATATTATTAGGACGGTGAATTCATTTTTTGTTCATTTATTAGATTATATGTTAGTAATGGGTACTCGCGAATCGTTTATATGTATTTTACGCTAGTCGCTTTTGGAGTAATTCCAGAATACATCTGGAAATCATCCATTTGGTTTATATAAGATTGTGGTAAGAGAAAGAGAATCCAAATACTTTAGAGAACTCGTCAATAGATAGCTGGTGGAAGTAAAATTATCAGCATAGATCATCCTTAAATCTGTCAATATTTAACGAATTTTAATGTATTTTAATAGTCGTTGCAGTGTGGAGTACTCAAGTTAGGGGCATAACAGTGACAAGAAATTATGTTTTAATTATTTTTTAACTATAAAAACTGTTAATTTTAAATCTTCTATATTTTTCTTAATTATTACTTCTGTCAGTACTGAAAAATAATTATAAGTTATAATATATACAAATTTCTATTTACTTGCTTCAAATAGTGTTCATGATTTTGACAACTATCCAAGTATAATACACAGGACGATTTATTATTCATGAAATACTCAATTAATCGAACAATAATAATTATATTAAAATTTTTTTTATTGGTTTATTTTAGATCCCCGTTTTATTTAATTTATCAGCCATTAAGTATTTTTCATGTTCATCTTTTATATCTTAGAGGGTGTCAATTTCATTTTTTTAAATGGCAAACTAAATAATTAACTAGTTTATTTAATAGATAATAATTTAATCTAATTAAAAAAATAACTGGTCAATAACAATTTTATACCTATATTTCAGAAGTAAATTTTACACATTTTTATACCTTGGCAGGAGGAAGAGTACAGCGGGAAATGATAAGTAATAAAAATAACACCTGCGTCTCACTTCCAGTCTTTACTTTAAATTATTAACAACATTTAAAATCCTATTTCACTTTATGTAAATAATTAACTAGGCAAAATATACGAATCTTACGAATTTATTAAAAGTTCGACCAATTGAAAAAGAATACAAGTGTGTTATAAATTGTTATTTTTTTAAAAATTATATCTTCGTATATGCAAACTATTTGTTCCTACTATAATAATAAAAAGTAAATTAAATTAGTTTTTTAAATAAAGTTATACCTTTATCATTTTTTTTTAATTTTTGAAAAGTAATTATTAGAAGCGAAGAGAGATACAAAAAGTCATGCAATTTTTGAGGAGTGAGTTTTAAAAGAGTTTGCCCGGCATATTATTTTTGATATCGGTGTTACTAGTTTTATTTGCAAAATTTGATGATCACTATTTATTAGTTTTTAGCCAAATAATCACTTTGAATCATCTGGTATGTTCATATATATGATCATTGTTTTATATATTGTTGAATCAGTAGGAAAAAATCGACGAATACGGTAAAATTTATAAATAAATTTTATTTATTTCATACTTAATATGATACGACTTTTCATTAATATTAATGCAATTATTTTACAACAATCATAAAATTTACTTATAAAGTTTGCCTTTAAAGTATTTTTTTACTTCATGTTGTGTTTCATTAAGTTATTTTATTCTAACTTTTTTGTTACATTTTTGTTATAATTTGAACCTTACGTAACTTTTGTTTGTTTATTATGATAAGTTGTCATATGATTTACTTTAAAATAATTTCAAATTACCTACAATTGCTGTTATTTAACTTTATACATTATTCCTTTAATTTAACTAGATAATACATTTGTGCTCCTTTACATTATTTTTTAGATAAATTACAACAGTAAAATTTTGTAAGAAAGTTTTAGCTTTTCATTTGTCACTTTAGTCAATTCTTATAATGAACTGTTTCAGTGGTATTTGAAGACAATTAATGAAACAACTTTATAATATTGATCCATTTGAATGATGTTAGCATAATATAAACATAATTTTTAGTTTTCAACTGAATGAAATCAAATATATACGACACTCTAAACCTATCATACATTTAATTTTTATATTGTAAATACAAAATTATAAAATTGTTATATTATCCAATTTTTATATAGTAAAATAATCGGTTAATGATCAAAATTGTTGAATTCACTTTAATTTCAATAAACCTACTGAACTGATTTGTGTGTTTCTACATAATATTTTATGGTTCATTATGTATTGAACTACCTTTTATTAGTAAAAACCAGTAACAGAGGACCCCATAGAATTTAAAGAGACTCCTCGTTAAGATACTCTTTATTGTTTAATTTTGGTGACCCATCAACTTTACAACCCTTTCGTTCCTCCATAGACCACGCCACTTCGTCTATCCCGACCAAAACCATTACCCTCCATTCAAAATAGACCATGCCTACCCCTTCACTCCTGTTTACGTCTTTTGCCTTCTGTTTGGTGCCGAATATCCATTTTACCCTACTAATAGGTCTTTAATTATTTACGAAAAATTACTTAGTTTATTGGGATAAAAATATAATTTTGTATTACTACGTCATGTTTTTCCAAAGAAACTACAAAAAGTAGTAAAAAAATGTGATATATAAAGGTCATTTAGGGACCCCACTATAAAAAATGTCTGTTATTATAAATTTTTATTTATTTGATGTATTTTTCATACCTAGTAAAAGTAGCGTGAGATCTGACACGGCCAAATTGAATAGATAGTAATTAGTTGCTGTATGCATAAAGTTATTCCGAATGATTACCACGCATACGGATATATTCCCAATTATTCCAGTAACAAAAATGAGTACATAGATAATAGTTATTGGTATAACTATAGTAAGTGAGAGATGTTTTGGCCCACGTGTTCGAAGTAAGTAATCTTCCAGTGTATCATTAGATGTATCATTCAGTTCTTCCCAATAATATGATCCATCCTCTGTCATACTACTCATGTCAAATATATTTCAAGCAATCTAAATTCATCCATGGATATCTATAAAATAAAAATTTTTCTATTGAAGTCATATTATTAATAAATTAGTTAATTTTTGATATAACTTTTATTACATTATTATATTTTAGAAATAATATTATAATAAATCTTGAAAACTTAATAAATATGTAAAAAGTAAACTATATATTTATTTATTCACAGATATTTTTCTTTATTGACTAATAATTAACGATCTTTATTCTTATTATCTCAATTATTGAGGTTGATCATATTGATATATACTTACCATAATACACATTTTCTTTTATTGGTTTTGGTATATAATTTTAATTTTAATTCTTAAAAAAAAAAATTAATCAACAATTATGAAATGCTTATTTCACAATGGTTACAGAAGCTGCAGCCTTTCCAAAAAAATTTTTTTTTACCGTAAAAGAAGTAACCGCATTTTCTTTACGCCGAGCCATTTTAATGCTTAAATTTAATAAGAACAAAAAGGGTACACATAAAGTTATTTGATATGAATGAGTACCCGCAATTTATAATGTATGCAATAAATTAAGTTCTCTTATAATTGACTATTAACTATTCTATCTAAATACTTAATCAAAGGCACTATGTAAACTAAAAGGTATAGATTCTCCTATATTTAATGTGAACGGCAACTAAAATTGGTTGGTGAAATTGCATATTAAATATCTATAAATGAAAATCACAGTCTGACCACGTAATAGTTGTTAAGAAGATAAGAAATAAGGTATCGCTAAATATACTTTCAAAAGCATCTAATGAATTGATTAGTTCAATATAAGATGATTAATGGTTCTGAATAATGGAAAAGGAGTGTAAAAATATGTAGCCAACTAGACAAGTCGTTGAAACTGAAAAATCAAGCGCAAGAAGATATCTCAAAGGGAAAGTCATATTATTGAAATCTATTTGTACATACATTTTTATTACAGCTACAGTGCTTAATTAATTTAACAACTCAATAAATATTTATCATGATAAACATTTTAAAAATGGCATTTAATCTTAAAAAATACATTTGAAGTATGATAAATTATTTGTCAAATCTCAAAATATACGACAACATACTGTAAGTAAATTAGAAGAAAATTTTATGAAGCCATAATTTCTTTTTAATAATAATAATCATAATAACATATTCCATTTGATGTTTTTTTACTGACATAATAATTTCATACTGAGTGTTTTATCGAAATTATAGTTATTTTTTTTTACAATATTTCATATCGCAAATATTATCCAATAAATTATTGCAATAATATTTTGTGCAGACTACCATTCAATACTCACTTAAAAAATATGTATTTTTATATTTATTATAATGTACAATATTATTCATAAGTAAGTTGAACAACATATGGAAGATTGGGGATTATTACCACACTAATATGGTAATAAATTAAGTTTACATAAAATAAGTTAATTCACAACTACAACTTGTTTTATTCAATCAATTCAAATCTACCTCACATTTAAATATGCCCCAGTCTCCTATAATTTTTGTAACTAACTTGTAAGTAATGATAAATACAACGGTGTTTTAGCTATTATTAATTTTTATTAATATTATGCATGCGTAAAAATACATGTAAAATATTTAATCTCATTCTTGACATTGTGATGTGTACCTCAATGAAACTCAGATAAAATAAAATAAATTAAATTAGATAAAATTAAAGTAAACTATAATGTAATGGCGTGTACATAGATAAATTACTGTGTACGTGGATGATTGTCATTACGCAATTGAGTTAGTAAATAAAGATTTTTATTAACACCTGCGGATTCTGGAACTATTTAAACTTGTAACTGTTAAACACTATACAACGTTGTGTAAGATACTATTAAGTGATTTTGTACATTAATTGTTGCGCAAAATGTACGCCAAAACAATATAGAATATGTAAAATATAAATAAAAACCATTGATTTGTCGTCAACCACTCGATTTATGTTAAATTATTTATAAATTAACTCTAAATAAAATATAACATAGATGTAACTAAAAATAAAGAAAAAATTCTTAATTTTGGAAAAATTGATTAACGTTAAATCACAATCACTTTGTTGTTCCAGACTTAAACAACACTTAAAACTGAAAGACTTTTAAAACTTGTGGATTATTATTAAGCTCCAATAGTGTTCCCAAATAACATTTTAATGAACAGATCTATAAGCTCTTATATGTTTTTAAAACTTAATAAAGTATTCACTTTTCACTAAATTCTTATTAATAAACTATACGTTTATATATTACAGTCCATTTGTTGACTTTTATTATGTTATAGTAAACATTTATATTAATTACTGTTATTATTACATTTACTATGTATACTATCTATACTCAATATATTAATAATTATTTAAACATTACTCCGTGAATTCCTAATATGAATATCGTCAATATTAAGATTGAACAATTTTAATACTTATTACAGGTATCTTTTTTAGTATACCACTTTCGTTTTCATATACCTAACCTATATACAAATATGACGATGGATAAGTTTTTTATTATTTTTTTAATGCGATTAATTTTAATTAAATATTTCAGTTATATTTTAATAAATACGAGCATCACAACTATCGAATAGCAAAAAAAAAGTCAGTTGGTAAATTTCTAAAATATACTCAAATTATACGTGGATGTTTGATGGTTTAATTTTAACTGTAAAAAATGTTCATAAAAACTTAAGTATTGTCAATAATATGTTTCAATTTTAATTTTAGCTTCGATGCGTACTGAGAATTGCAACTATAGTTGTATTATTGTATATCAAATAATTATAAAAAAATTAATCTAAATCTCATTTTATTATAAATAAAGGTTGACAATGGCAGTTTTAATCAAATAAACAAAATTTGGTTAGTTGATAAATATTTTGTTCAAATATTTAGTTTTTTTTTTATATAACTGTCCGATATTTAGAGAAAATATGTCGTTTTGTTATGTAATTCGAGACATTTTCCGCGGGGAAATAAAACTTTTATGTCATCCATCTATACTTCTAGTTATAGCTATACTTTTACCCCAGGGTAACATACAAAAGGTTATCTGTAAATATTTTTTCGGCTTATATTTAATCTTTATTCCCACCTAAATAATCATTATTTGTGAAATATACGGTTTGAAATTACAGTAAAATATCCCTACATTTAAATTAAATAGTGGTAAGCTATATTATACAGTTTTGTTATGACGATTAAGGTATTTTTAAATGAAAGTATATTATTTTAAAACACCTATATATGATAACACTCTGAGCTTTCAATTTAGTTAATCCAAACTTTTCTTAGAACAGTGTTTTGAACTTAGGCTAACTTTAAAAAAGTATGTTTATTAATTTATTATACTACAGGAAAAAGTTTTTTAGTAGTATCACTTATTTTTATTTGTTTATATTTTGGCGTGCGGGCTTAACAATATGACAATTATAATCATTTTGAAATTTTGAGATACCTTGTTGGTGACACTACATTAGGCGCTTCAACACAGGTGAATTTTTCATAAAAATTTAATCTAACCAAAAGTACATAATACTACATGGAAAATAAAAACATTGTAATAAAAAAAAATTGTCTTGAAATTTAAAAATATTTTACATTATCCTTTACATTTGATATAGTACCATGGTTCTCTCAGCCGCATATCACGTTATCAACCGAAATGAAAGTGCATCGGGATCTGAATCACAAGTGCGAGGGTGGCCCCAAAATATGGTTTGTCTCTACGACGCATTTGGTCGCGGGTTCTAATCCCGTATCGTGTCTCTTTTTTCACACGATTTCCGGTACTCTTCATTAACCGGCTGAAAAACCCCGGAAGCCAAGTTACATTATAAGCGTATTACACAGTATAAGTCTTTAAAAATATTTTAAATCACACAGAAAATGGTTGTTGTGAATTTTATCGAACTTTTAACAGAATTCTTTAAAATGTACGTGACAAAAAAGTGGCATTAAAAGTTAATAAATTTTGAAAATAAAATTGTATAAAATATGATCTTCTAAAAAAAATTTTTTATTGATAATAAACTAAAACCAATATTTAATTCTACAATAATAAAAATGGTAGCACAGTGGAGTCGCGCCACAATATGGTCGTGGCATAGTTGGGACAAGTATAGATGATATCTGATAGTGATTAAAATCACCATCATAAGAAACGCTTCAATCCAAACCTGTAAATAGTGTTTAATTTTAAGATTGGTGGATTATTTCAAAAACTAAATGAACTCTTATTTTATTCATTATTCCTAATAAGTAGTTCTTTGATTTATAAGTGTTATATATGAATAAATATTTATTATAGCAATTAAATATAGTATGAAATTTATATTTAACAATTTAGTGTTGTAATTTTTACGGAGAAATTATTGTAAAGTAAAATTTTTTTGATTCGTTCATTTTTAAAAATGCTATGGCAGTTAAAAGAAAAAAATTTATTAAAAATGACGAAATTTACCGATTTTAAAAATCCTAATTGTTTAGGGATTTCCACCATTAACGGGAAACGAGAGAAAAATTTTCAATTTTATAGTGTTATAGTCTGTAACTAGATATTGTTTGTAAACTTTTAACGTATTGTTGAGAAAAATCGGTCTAGTGAGAGTTAAAAAAAAGTAGTGACAGACAAAAAAAAAAATAATAATAATAATAAAAATAAACACATCATGTTAAAATTAATATCTTCTCATCTTCGCATCGAAGCTAAAAAACGATGAAAATACTAAGAAAGTCTACAAATTCACAAAAGCTTAATTTTTACGAACATTTCACACTATTTTTACAGGCAATTCAACTTGCGGCGAACTTGTGGACGTGAATTTATCAACAAATATTTATTTTATAAACAATTAAATTGAAAATAATTTTTAACCCTTTTAAAATGATTTAAGAATTTTATATTTTCAAAAGATTTTCTACCCTTTTTTTTTATACAGACTTAATTCGATCGTGATACATACCCATTAAATGTATTAAAATGCTTTTAACTAAAGTGCTAATAACTTGTTCTAATTACTTCTACTAATATTGTTGTCGACCCATCAAAATGTTTTATAAAGATAGAGCTAAAAAATAACTATTACAAAATTTTGAAAAAATAAATATCTTAAATATTTGTTTAGTATTTTTTTTTAAGTAATAAATAATAAAAATTATCCTTTGAACGATGTTTGAGAAAGAATTAATTATTTCAAAAAAAAATTATCTGCAAAATAATAGTTGGATCAAAAGTTAAAAATGTTGTCAGTTAAATCTGAGACACTGTATAATATAGGGCATAATGCATTTAAAAAGTCCATTATATATATATATTAGTTAATAATATTAATACCAGAAAATATTTAGTAAAAGTCAAAAACATTTTATATACCAATAATTTAAAATAGTTTATACCAGTGACACGTATCTACCTTTCTACATAAATTTTAATTAACGAACAAAGCATAACATGAATTTGAAAACTATAGAAAGATTAAATTACAACGACAGAAGCTTGTCAATTCACAATTATTTGACGTCAAAGTGTGAATCAGTTTTAATTTCTATATTATTCATTATTTATAAAGCATTGTCTCATTTATTGGATGTAAAATATGACATGGAGGGTAAAAACTCCATTAGCAGAGATTTGGTTTTTTACACTCTGCATGATTTAATTCAAATAAGTATTTTAATTTTCACTAATATTATTGTTTTTATTTTCAATCAATGCAACTTTTAGGTTTAAATTAAACATTAAACTTAATTAGCAGAGTTCTGCTTGAACGTTGCATGTATATTAAGTGAAAATTCTTGGTCATCAAGATTTTAATGATATATACACAAAGATAATAAGTTATTACCTTAGTAGCGTTATTCAAGCGTTATTACTAATAACGCTTGAATACACGTTTTGAGTCTCTTGAATATTGATGAAACTTTACCCAACTTCATGTGACTACACGAAATGTGCTGCCTGCTAGTGATTTGGTTGACGAGGATTTAGTTTACCATCTCGTGTACATTCAATAAATTGTAGGCTACGTGAAAAAATTATTAGGATGCGTCAAGACTTCTCTTCTGGAATTCATTGCGAGTCTATTTTTAAAAAAACGATAGTACGTGAGCTCATAAGTATACGACAGTTTTTCAAGTAATCTCCTAAGCCAACCACAAGTTGCAGGAGACTAATTCTCTAGAGTATTTGGGGTGTTCGATGAATAACAATAAAATTGTTCCTCCTCAATAGCTTACTCATTAGTTACCCGAAAAACCTTCGAAAACGTTATACTGATGGGTTTTCTGTCCAGTTAATCAAACATTAAGTGATTCTAGCCATTTTCAAGTCGAATTCAACAATTTAATGTTTAACTTAGTTACTGATCAGACTATTTTTGTTCGAATAATAAATATTTTTTGATCTTTGCTCATTAATTGTCTTATAATGATACTGCATTTGTTTAGTCACGAGTAACAGGACTCTTTACTTGAAATAACTATCAATCAATCTACTTAGCTTTGTGACTAATTCAAGAAGGACATTAAGAAGTATCGTATAAAGTTAATTTAAACGAATTACTATTTATACTATTACTTAATAAATTAAAACTCATAATAAGTATTACGCTGAAATATAATTGCATTCATTTTTCTACCGTTTAAATAATTTTCATTTTTTTTAATTTATCGATTTTTTTACCAATTTAGGTGGTTAGGCTTTTATAGAATACCATTTGGACGTTACTAAATTGGAAATGTTCGTTGCAATATAATCAAAAAATATTTTGAAACATCATATTTATAAAAAAATTACTATTTTTGGACACATATATTAATATTTTATTTAATGTTGATTTAGGATTATTTATTTATATATAAATATACAAATTGTTTACAATATTACTGTAGGTATATAATATATTATATATTATATAAATTTTGTAGTTATATATATATACTATATATATATATAACTACAAAATTTACTAGTTCTAAAACATTGATTATAAGAATAAAATAGTATACATTTAGTCAATAAAATTAGTTAGAACTTGTTTATTAAAAAAAATTTATATTGGATTTAAAAACTTTTAGGAGACATTAATTATTAAGAAATTTTTCAGAACTTCACTACCAAAGTTTACTTGTTAATTTTTTTTATTATCAAAAATTAACTTTTATGATCGGTTCATCATAATCCTTTTAATTACTTACAATAAAATGGCTATGTTTTGTTTGATTTTTATGTTACAAATTTTTTTTGATATATCAAATATGAGACTAAATGAAACAAAAAAAAAATTCTTAATATTTTTTTTTATTTAATTATATAAGTAATTGATGATACTAAAATCATTCTGTACATTATAAAAAAATAATAAATAATATTGAAAATGATACATGAAATAGTTTTCTGAATGAATTTCTCAAATTTGATTTCTCGGAAATTTTATTATACAGTACCGTAGTTATTAAAAAATGTCGTCTTTCAATTATAAGAGTTCTGACTACATTTCCTTTCTTTTGTACTTATCAAATCACTTAGTAAACATTTTCTTGAGTTGATTACTTAATTTTATATTAGCGTAATTTGGTACAAACAAGCACACCTGCAGCTTAATATCTTATATTTTTCTTAGTAGCATATTTTTTGATTTTCAAATAAGAACTCTTTTCTTTGATACGTCCTTAATTTTTATTTATTTGTTGCAATGGAGTACTTTATACAACTAATATCTTGTTTTTTTATTTTACTTTTATTTTTATATTTACCTATTTTCAGATAGCAAATTTTAGTAGACATATTGAACATATAATAACATGTATTATTTTAGTACAAATAATATATTATTTTGGTTTAATAACAATATATTTATATTGATAGTTTATTATAAAACCAAAACAATTATTCAATAACGATTTTGACGAAAAATTATATTTATACTGTTTATACACTATTAAGCAGACATTTTCCAAAAACATAATACTTCTAAATTATTTACAATATATTTTATTCGAAATTAAATAACAGAAATTTTGTGGATAAAATGTTCTTGTAATATTTGCATTTCTGTATGGGGTAATGATTTTCAAACTAATTTTACTACTGTGTTTTTTCTTTAAAAGCGGAATTCAAATTACATCATTCAAACATTATACTCGAGAAACAAATGGAACCTCATGAAGTTTTACACATTCCGTATCATACAAATTCAAAAGGGATCCTTTCTTTTACACGTTGAAATAATGATGGATTACTTCTATTGTTTGTATTTAATGAAATGCATTTTATTTATGAGTGCCGAATGTTAAATAATTAGTATTGTATTTGACTGTTTTCAAACTTTAATTAAAAATTGTATATTACTTAATAACCATTACCAGCAAATTATATCATGTGTCTCATTATTTTAATACACTTTGCAAAAGATATATTTTTGAATATTGATTGAAATATTAAATTTACTATCTTTATTTTTAAAAGAAACTATTACTGGCTTAAGTACGCAAATTCTCTTTATTTATTACATTTATATCGTAAAAAAGAAAATATTTTATATTATTCCATAATTGTTTGTAGGTACAGTTGAGGTTAAAAATCATAAAAGCATCTTGTTCATAATAATAATAAAGACCTTAGGAAATAATATGGAAATGGTACTAATCAAGTCTAAGAACCGAAGTAATATCGAAAAACCAATTAAAATAATTTACAATATTAAATTAGTTCATCTAAAGATAAAAAAATTTCGTTATATACAGAGTGATACATTTAACGTTAGCCAATCAATTTCTCTTAAAATAATAATATATTTTGTACTTTGTAAATTCCACATGTATTTCTATTTATCTATTATAAAATAATTTTTAGGTTCATCACTTATATCTTATAAGGGGTGATAACTTTATTTTGTTTAAATGACAACATACATATTTAATTATCATAGGGTAGGGTCGCCTAAGTTGGACCGATGCCTAAATTGAACCACCTTCATATCTCTGATTCCAAACATCGATTTTAACCAAAACACTTGTAAATTGTTTTATAACCGTTTTATAACGTTTTTGGAGTTATCAAACATATTATTATCAGGCGAATATATGTTAATATATCATATAAACGAAAAACCATCATTTTACTGTTATTTTTTCATACTTTCCGCAAGGATTTGCTGCATACTAAGTAAGTGCAATTATGTATTATTTATACATGTATTTTAGGCAATTTTGTAAAGAAATAAATAGCATAAAGAAATTTACAAACATGTTAATACTTAAATTTATACTTAGACTTTTCTAATAAAAAACAAAGTTGCTTATATTGAACCTCCTACTGTTTCCAAAGTTGGACCACTAATTTCATTATAAAGTAATTGTTTACTCAATTTATTTGTTTATAGGTCTGGATAAACGTGGCAAATATGGTAATTGGTCACAAAAAACATTAATATTAGCTGTACAAGCATATTATATTATAATATGAAATTTAATAAAATGAGTTTTTTTAAATATTATGATGTTATATATGTTTTGACGTTGGTAGTTTGTTTAATTTATTTTAAATTTAATTGAGAGTAAAATAATTATTATACAATTAAATATAACAATATTTGTTATATTGTTATTAATTGTTATAAATTAAGTGTTTAGTGTGCTTTTTTGAAGGTGATCCAAATTAAGCAACTGGTTGCCTATGTTGGACTGCTTTGTACATTTTTTCAAAATGAAAAATTTGTGCCTTTAAAATTAAAAAAATTATCTATGCCAAACAGTTGCTTATATGTTTAGGTACCATGTAAATGCAATTAATTAAATATAACTTAAAACAATTTGCTGGAATACTCCAAAATGTCTAATGTGGTTTAACTTAGGCAACTCTCCCCTATAAAATATAAAATGGTCTAATTAAAAAAATTACTGGTCAATAACAACTTTTAGTCTAATACTTCAGAAATAATTAACATTTTAAAATATAGACTCTTGATGAAATGAGTATGTTACTATTTTTATTATTAGTAATTTATCGTCTGCTCTTCTCCTCAAGTCTAGGTGAAAATTTATGAATATCTTCCAAAAGCTGTTATTGACCAATCATATTCTTAATTAGAATATTTTTTAGAATTATTAGAATATAATTAAAATATTTTTCTTTTTTATAAACTATTTGAATATGTATGTTACCATTTAAAAAAATAAAGTTAACACCACTATAATACATAAGGCATGAACATAAAATATATTTTATAACAAATAAATGGCAGTACATGTAACTAGAACATACATGTAACATATAACTAACAAAAGCTAAAAAAAATTATTATTTAAGAGAAATTGAATGGCTATTGTTAAAGATATTACCTAGCATTACTATTATTTAGCATTTATCAATTTTTTTTTAGTACAAGTTTTAAAAACAATTACAAAAACTAAAAATATTTAGAGACTTTTAAACCACCATTAAACTTAAATTAAATTTAAAAAGTTTTTTTTTTGATTAAGGGTTTTTTTAAAGTAATTTCATAATACTTCTGTTTCTATATTTGTTTACCTTACAAAGTTTTTTAAAAATTTTGGAATAATTCAGTTAACATGGTAACAATTTTCGAAAAACTGTTTTTTTAAATTACGTAGATTTTTTGTATTTAATAGAATTTGTATTTGATAAAAAAAATTTAATTTACACTGTAATCTAAAAATTCTCATACATCAGTATGATACTTTTAATATACATATTTCTTTTACTCTCAAGTAGTATATGTTTGGCATAAAGTATCAAAAATTCGCACACAAATATAAATGATCATCACTATTTATCAACATTCCTTACATTATATACGTTAAAAACTTCCAATACTCAAAAAATACTAAATACATCAATAAAATGTGATGACTTAATAAATTTTTTTAAGAGTAAAGTTTTTAGTCATATTATTAGGTTATCTACTAAGTTTTTCACGAAAAAATGAAAAGTTAATTTTTTTGATCTTAGTATCTTCCTATGTCATTTACTCAATTATAATATGTTTTTAAAATAAAATATAATGTATAAAATATCTATTGAATTTTATACATTAAATATAAAGTATTTCTATAATACATTTTTAGCATTTTTAAATAAAGTTATCTGCCGTTATTTATATTTATATTAATAATATCACTGAAATAGTATTAATTCTGTTCTCATTCTATAGAGTTATTAAAAATACATTACGAATGAATGATTCAGTTAGTACTATCAATCTTAATCAAAATGTGGTTGATTCTAAGAATTAATTGTTTGTACAAAATATTAATAAACAATTTCCAATCCTTTGAAAGAACGCAATTTTGATGATTAATATAAGTTAAGCTTTTTGATTAAAATATTAAACAACTATTTTTATAATAAAATAAAACTAAAAATATGTCTTAATATAAGTTTCAATGTTTCAATGTCAGATTTTATCTTTACTTGTCCCTACTGTGCTGTTTATTTATTTATTTTTAACCTCGGAAAGGAAATATTTTGAAAATTAAAAAGTCTACAACTATAATCTAATATTTAGAAAAAATATATTATTATAAAAAGTACTTTTGTGCTCCCTTATAATGATGGGATTAGGAGTGATTATCCACAATTGAAAAATACAAGTGTTTTAGGGTATTTTTTAAGTATTTTTCTATGTACAAATGGACACCTATTTAGACCAGTTGGACACCAGAAATTATTCACTTATTAGTTGTTCTTTGTTTAGACGATCTAAAAAAAATATCCAGATATTATTATTTTCTTTTACAAAAATATGATTCATTTTACTATAATCCTGGTTATCAATTATAATTCAGTATTATCATAATGAATTATGATAACAAAAAAAAAAAAACGCATACTTTCTCGCAGTAATTTTTGTATCTAAAAATGCAAATGTATATGAATGAATACAGCCCATAGATATATAAATAGGAGCAATAGACTTTTTCGTGTATTACATTGAAGCCCGTGTGTATTGTTTTATAAGAGGAAGACTTGCCTATTTTGCATTAATTCTAAGTTATACTTGAAATTTATAAATAGAACAATTTGAACAGTATGATAATAAAATTAAGAATAAGATAACACATAAAATATCTTTGAGAAATCTTTTGTGTATAATGTAATGTAAGCTTTATGAATTTGTTCCAAGTCTATTCATTTATGTATCTATGATCAGCTGCATGGTATTATCATTAATTATAATATTACCTACAACCGTAGTCTCCATCAACCTTATCACTATTTTAATTGTTTATGAGATCTTTGTTGATTACAATGCACAAAATACGTACAAGTTTTTTATGATTTAGTAGTTTGTGATAAATTAATTACACTGTATATTAATATCTATTGATTTATTTATTTATCATATTACCTAGATAGTAGAAAGTTGAATAAATAGTCAGTATTTCTTATTATACATTTTTCGTGTTTATAATATATGAACTCTACGATATTCAAAATTAATTATATTTTCCGGATGTTTTAATGGTAAATATTAATACAATTTAGATAAAAAATTAAAAGAATAATTAATCTTAAAATAAGTAAAAAAAAGTAACAGAAAAAATATATCGTATCATAAAAAAGTAAACCATTGCACCTTATAATTGTAAGGGGATAGAAGTAATTTTCTAGAATTGAAAAACGTATATTTCGATTGCGTAACTTTTTTTGGCCCATTTTAAGATTATATTATTTTGTTATTTTTTTTATATCACTCGAAATAAATATTAAAAAAATGTTTGCACGCCCTAAAAAGATTTTCTCCCTCTCAACCCTCCCCTATTGAGAGTATTTTACAAAAATAGGTTTGTAAAAATTTTTTTTTCCCTATAATAATAAAGTACTTAACTTTAATAATTCTCTTTCATCATTTCACATGATGTTCACGACATTTTTTATTAAATCCCCATATTTGAACATTGTGTTTTACGAGTGATTGATCTTTGAATCACTTGTACATTCCTCAAAATATATAAATTTTCTTAGAAAAATCGTATACTTTTGTTCATATATTGGTATAAATAAGTGTAACTTATTAATGCCAACAGATCCTCAAGTTTATGTAATAATAAATTTGTATACACCATCACTGTAGATATTTATCTAAAAAACTATAAGAAAGTTTTCAATATTCTTCAAAATAAGTTTCAACAAAAAATCAACGTAAAATTTATTAAGAATTGTATTACACTTTTTTTTTAAGTTCCTACCGGTTTTTATTTATAAAAACGAATAAAAATGTATTACTCACATGACTTGGATCGAAATTTCATCTCAAAATTCTCTGGTGAATTTATTAAAAGTAACTATACAACTTATGCTTGTAAAGTTATTGAATTACAACTAAAAAAAAAAAATACAAATAAAAAACTAATACTTTCTTTGTTTAGCAACAAAGTTTAAAAAATAAAAATCGCTTTTATAGAATTTAATGTTTTTTGTTCATTTTGAACTTATATTAATGGTTTTTTCGTCAATAAAAAAGAAGAATAACTAGGATCATCATAAATATACATGCTTCTTGTCAAAATGTTCTAACTTTTAAAAGTTTTACAAATAAAATACTTTTTATTGCAATTAAAAGTTGCATTGACAGATATTTCATTTGTTCATATTTATACTATTTTTATGAAATAAAAATTATAGGAGTATTAAAAAAGAGTGTTATTGATGATCAAGTACACAAACAAAACAAAAGCTAAATATGTATATGTCGTCTCATTTTATCATTTATAAAAATGATAAACTAATGTTATTGTTGTTTTTTCATTTAATCTTTATTTATCTTTACTAACTTAATCGTTTCTACCCCTTAAATGAGTTTGTATAAAATCAAGGCCTTGTGCTGAAAACAGAATTTCTACCTTATTTTATCACTTACTTTACAGGGTCGATCATATAATAGTAAGGTACAGTTATATTATCACTTTTTAATATAGAATCAAATTATTTACTATTTTTAAATTAAATTACACAATTTAATAGCAATCCAAAAAAATAAATAAAATTGTCTTTTACCTTAAATAATAATAAATCTAATGCTTCATTTGCATTTAATGAACATTTTAGTATTTTACACAAGTAGTTGAAACTTGTTTTTTATTGTTGTTAATAAATTGATTTCAAATTTATTATGATGCATTAACTGCTATTAAAATAAAAAATAAAATAAAAAACTTAACCATTGTATGGACAAACAATGACACTGTAGGATATAATATTACAAATAACACGGGTATTGAATCGAGAGAGTATTAGTGATAATTGAGCTGACCTTTCCGTTTTGCATCCATCAACGTCGTATAAAGATTTTATTGGTGCTGCTGTTTTTCTTTTTTTCGTTATAAAAATAAAAAATGTTTATCGTGTGATCCAATATTAGTCTTTATTTTTCAACTATCTAAATTCCCAGATTTGCAGAAAACGTCCACAATAAAAATTATTAGTACATCAATCCTTTTCGAAAACAGTGTCAATTGTAAGAAGTAGTTCAACACATTAGCTACTTTTTACTTGCTTACACTGAAAATGACATAATGTTCAATAAGAAAGGAAAAATTTTCTGCTGTTCTCATTGCTCGTGACAATTGACCTGTTTCTTTACTTTTTAAACATTTAAAAGTTTATATATAGTAACAAAATGTTTCTACATATCGTTTACATAGTGATGTAATGGAAGATATACGGCGTATACCTACTTCTTGATTTTTTGTTAATTTTTTTTTCAAATGTTGGTGTAATTTCCTGGTTATCGCCATGGTCACGGTAATCTGATCTGATATGATATTAGTTGTTTGGAATACCAGATATTTGGAACAATAATCACTTAGTCAAATATTGGAGTAAATGAAAGCCAGAGCAACATTCTACTTATGGCAAAATTATGTTTCCCCTAATGAGTATGTTTATAAATTGTTATTATTATCAAATAGTAAGTGATACAACGCGTATAAGCTGTTGGTTTATGTTTAGTACACACTAACAAAAGTAATGAAGTGGCGAGCGTAATATTACATTATACATTAATTATATTATATGAATTTTAACAAGCATTGACTATTTAAGAGAAAGATTTAAAGTCATTATTAAAAGAGGAAAGAGGTTCATTTAACAAGATTTTGAAACATATACTAAGTGAGTATTACTCACTAATAAATTTAAGACTACATCTTAGTCTACTTTAACTGTTATTCTGATCTTAAAAAACAATTTTTTATTTAATAAAAATAAGAAAAATTTTAAAGAATATACCAAGCCTTAGACATTTATTAATTTAAACAATAATTGGTAGCCATTTTGCTGTAAGTAATGTTATCATTTATACTACAGTGATAACAAATAAAAATATTTATTTTATAAAAATGTAAAATTATCCAAAAAATATATTATTTAAATATTCTTTAAACTTTAATATACCTATTAAATATAAAATAAGTTTTTAAAATTGTAAAAAAAACATTTTTTAATTATCATTAAAATTTGAAAAAGATTAATATAATTAAAATTTAGCGATTTGGCATACTGATTTACCTATATCAAAATGGTCGGCTGATTTAATCACCTTTCTTTATTGGTTGTGTTACATTTTATTAATGCCTATTCTATATATTCTGTCAGAATACTTGTTGACTACAGAAAACCAATTGTCCTGATACTTAAACCACGCTTAACACCTTGTTATAGAAAATACTTTATCAACTGTATTTTATTATACATATATCATCATAATTTTTTTCTTCTTTTTCCTCGCCTTAATCCCAACTACTTAGGGTCAGCCACTCTTATCCTAAACTTCCACTTGACACGATCTCCCGTATCATCTACGTTCACATCTGCTGTCCTAATATCGCATTCAATAACATCCCCCCATCTTTTTTGTTGGTCTTTTTCTACCTCTTCTTCCTACAACATTCATTTCTATGATTGTTCTATGATTGTTCTATGATTGTAGCTTCCGATTCCTCTCTCTTTATAACACGACCAACCATCTAAATCTATTTTTCTCTCATCTTATCCATGATTGACGCTACACCTATACTCCCTTATTATTTATCCTTATAATATATTCACTAGTCACGCCTCTCATCCATCTAAGAATTCTCATCTCTGCTATACTTTCCTCTGCTCTATTCTCTTGTCCACTGCCCAACACTTTGAACCATTTATCATTGCTAGTCTCACTACAGTTTATAGAACTTACCTTTTAGCTTCATTGAAATTCTTTTATCGCATAACACATCAGACGCTTCTCTCTACTACAACCACTCGCACTTAATCCTGTGTCTTACATCCTCGTCAATACCATCGTTCTTTTGCATAACTCATCTTAAATACTTAAAACTTTCCAACTCTCCTACCTAGTCCTCGCATCTTATCACTGATTACCTCATTTTACCTACTTCATATTCTCCTTTGTCAAACTCGTACTCTATTTACTCTGTCTTACTCCTGCTTATTCATAAACCTAGTCTTATTCTTAATACATAGATCATCTCTTTTATTAATATCTTATATATATCAGTGATCTAAATTTTTAAAAAACAGCATAGTGAAGACAAATATAGATGATATTTAACAGTGATTAAAATTACTATCGTAAAAATAATTTTGATTCCAATTTATACATATTAAATATTTAGAAGGAATTTTCGAATTATTCCACAAAGAACATGAACTCTTATCTCTTTAACATGATAAATACTTATTATAGTTATTAAAATTAGTATGAAATTGATATTCAGTAACTTAGTATTGAAGTGTGTTATGAATAAATGATAAAAAGTTATAAAATTCTTGTATATAATGTGATTATTTAACATTAACCGTTCGATAACTTTTAAAATAATAAATATTTTAAGGACATTTTTTTTTTGTATTTTTTAATTTTATACATTTTTCAATTCAATAATTATTAAATTTTTTTTAATTATTCCTTTATATCTTATAAGGGTGTCAACTATATATTTTAAATGTCAACATACAAATTTAACTATCTAATAAAATAAAAAATAACTGATCGATGACAACATTAAGCCTATTATTTTAGAAGTTATTAAAATTTCTAATATATAATAGAGTGGAGGATATAAAGTAATACGTAATACATAAATATATATGTTGTCATTAAAAAAATAATGTTGATACATAATAAGGCATAAAGGACTAATTAAAAAAATTATTATAATCGATAAATCAAGAAATATATGAAACTAAAAAAACTAAAAATGATTTTCTTAACATAATTATTATTTTAAGAGAAAACGAGTGGATAATAGTGGCTATTAGGAGAATCTGTATTTTGTTACCTTATTTAATCATAAGCCATTGATAGGAATATTTTTTTTTTTTTTGTTGAATGGACAGCCTCTTTTTTTAATATACATATTTGATTAACAAAAGTTACAAATATTCTTCCTGAAAATATTTATAACTGACATTTCAATCATTTTTATTATTGTTTTATAAAATTTAAATTAAAAGAAGTAATTATTCCCTCCCTTATATAGCACTATAATTTTTGATCTAAAATACAGACATGCTAATTAAAAAAAAATTAAATAGAAAATTATAACACGCAAAATGGTGATTTTTTATAGGAAATAACATTTTGTGTTTAAGTTCAAAGATTGTTTACTTATAGATAATAAGTTATTGGACAAATTTTTTTTTAACTTGTAGTTAATAGCATAAGTTTTAATTTAAAAAATGTTAAAAGTTTGGAGTATTTCCAGAATATTTTCAAAAATAAAATTGAAAAAGATAACTTTTCATGCAAAAGTTACTATTTTGAAGCCTCTTTTGTGAATAAACTAAGGGTCAAATTTTCAAAATATCTATATCAAATAAAAAGGAAATAACTTAGATGTCATATACAAGTTAACACATCAACATTATATAAAAAACATTAAAAGTAATGAATAACAACAACCACGACCTTAAAAACTTTATATTTAGGGTTTTTATATAAAAATATAACATGTGACATAATGTTGAACTACCAAAGATATTATTATATTGGTAGCTTAATTTTATTTAAAAGACCACAAAATTCATAAGAAACATAATCAAACTTAAATATTTTTATTATGAGGTGTTAGTATTACACAACAGTAATTTGATTATTTTTAGTATTTTCTTACAAAAATAAAAAATGTAAATTTTCTAAAAGTATTATAAATGTACATTAAAAACTCTAAAAAAAGTTCCAGTATAACTTAATTCATACGATGTGTGTTCAGAAAGCAACGGACATTTTTTAATTTCGCCGGTTTAGAGAGTTTGATTATCCAAGTAATTTTTTTATAATATATATATTATAAATAACACATATATTTTCGAATGAGGTTGATATTGATAATAGATTTCCACTAGAAAGTTGAATAATTTTACTTTGTTCTTTATTAATTTTTTAACTCTACTTGTGTGTTCTTCTACCATTATATAATAATGCCACTTTTATAGTAAACTGTTTCTGTATAAATAATTTTTTAAAAAAATGATTTTAAGTTTACCTAATTTTAACAATTTATTTTTACAATTATAATCAATTTTTGAATATGCTTAATTCAGTATATTTTTTAACTTTTCTATTGTTTTTTAGTTTCTTTGCGAAATTAAAAAGGAATCATTAATTGTGATGATATACGTTTTTTTTAATCTGCCCATAAAAATTCTAATCTCTCATTGAGTCATTTTCTTATAAGTATTTACTCGATTTTTACAAATTAGTAATAAATTCAAAAATGAGATGATACAAAAAATGTAATTGTATATTTGAAATTGGCGCAAAAATGGGTTTAGAAAAGTATTTTATATTAAAGGTAGGTATATTCATAAGTAACAAACAATTTTTTTTTTTAAGTATTAAATCAAGCCCTTGAATTTTTATACAAGTTTGCCAGAAAAGTAATAACTACTTTATAATTTCTTCGTAAAAATTACAACACTAAATTATTAAATATCAATTTCATACTATATTGTTATAATAAATATTTATTCATATGTAACACTTATAAATCATAAGACTTGTAATCAGGATATAAATAAGGAAATAGATGTTCATTCTGCTTTTGAAATAATCTAACAACTTCTTAAAATTAAACACTATCTACAGATTTGCATCAAAGCGTTTCTTATAATGGTAATTTTAATCGCTGTCAGATATTATCTATAGTTGTATCAACTATGCAACGACCCCACTGTGCTACAGTTTTTATTTTTTTGAAATTTAACATTACTACTTTGTAAAACTTTAAATTATGTTTGAAAGTGTTTAGTGTACTATTTGACTGTCAATGAGAAAAATGTATTTTAGTATACTTAAAATATATACTCATATCATTCAGATATTTATCGAGTATCCTTTCAATATAAAACACTGTTAGTATTTTTAACAAACTGTAGAATTATATTTATTTCTAAGTAGTTTTAATAATTGCTTTATTACTTCAAGCCGTTATATCTCTATTAGTGATGTGAAAAAATCTTATTGCTTTTATATATACAGCCTATAAATATTATACAGACTTAAAAAAAATATCCTAATTTTTAATATATTATGTCAAAATTACACTTCTTGTGTGTAAAATTTATGTAGGGTAAAGCGTAATAATAAGGCGAGGATAAGCTTATACAATTTTTCCTAACTTCTGTGATTGTATTTAAAACCTGACATTGTCATGAGAACTACTTCAATATCTAGCATATTAATATCTGACTACAATTTTTTCAATTGTCTCTTTAATTTTCCAAATAGCAAAATATAAATTATTCTGAAAATTTTCATCTTTCTCAGCTATAGCACAAAAGGATAAAAACGATCGTGAAATAAATGAACTTTCGTGAATTAATAAGTACTAAGTAATACTTTTAGAGTACTTAAGTGAGGAATTTGAACAATTTTCTTTAAAATATTAATATTTAAACTTTTGATGTTAAAAAAATTACATAAAAACATGCTAAATATGAATTTCTAATCACAGCTAAAATTAATATGCAAATACACGTG